TTTTTTGAGATGGAGTGTTGCCCTATCACTCAGGCTGAATGCTGTGGTGCGATCTCTGCCCACTGCAACCTCCTCCACCTCCTGGGTTCAAGTTATTCTCCCCTCTCAGCCCCCCAAGTAGCTTGGACCACAGACGTGTGCCACCACACCTGGCTAATTTTTGTATTTTTAATAGAAACTGGGTTTCACCATGTTGGCTAGGTTGGTCTCAAACTCCTGACCTCAAGTGATTCACCTGCCTTGGCTTCCCAAAGTGCTGGGATTGTAGATGTGAGTCACCATGCCCCACCTCCTGATTATATTTTGAAGGCTATATTGTTTCTTCATTGTTTTTTAGATTCACGATACATCTGGAACTGATTTTTGTATATGTTCTGTAGCAGTGAGTTAATTTTTTCCCAGTATAATATTAAATGGATCGAGCACCATTTATTGGTCTGTCCTTCCCGCATTTCTCTGCTGTGCCACCTTTGTTATAAATCAAGTGCAGGTATCCATAATTCCTATGCCAGCACCACACTGTCTTAGTTATTGCAGCTTTATACTGGTTCTTTATATCCAGAAGAGTAAATCTTCCTAGCTTGTTCTGTTTCTTCTAGAATTTCCTGCCTTTTGCATTTCCATTTAAATTTTAGTATCAGCTTGTCCTTTTCCACAAAAAGTTAGAATATTGATTGAAGTTGCATTGAATAGCATCATTTAAAAAAATTTCACATATTTGAACTCTTTTGTCTTTGGTATTTAGAAATAACCTATCCATTTGGGGGAGATTTTCTCTATGTGCAATCAAATAGCTTATGAATAATTTTATTTTGTTTCTCTTCTTTCCAATATTTACACTGTTATTTTTATTTTTGAGATGGAGTCTTGCTCTGTGGCCCAGGCTGGAGTGCAATGGCATGATCTGAGCTCACTACAACCTCTGCCTCCTGGGTTCACGTGATTCTCCTGCCTCAGCATCCTAAATAGCTGGGATTACTGGCATGTGCCACCATGCCTGGCAAGGTTTTTTTTTTTTTTTTTTTATTTTTTTTTTTTTGAGACAGTTTCACCATGTTGGCCAGGCTGGTCTCGAACTCCTGACCTCAGGTGATCCACCCACCTTGGCTTCCCAGAGTGCTGGGATTACAGATGTGAGCCACGGCGCCCAGCCTACACTGTTAATTTCTTTCTCTGGCTCAGTACCCTGGCTAAGACCTCCAGGACAATGGACAATGCTCAACAGAAATTGTCACTGTGGCATCTTTGTTTCATTCCTGATTTCAGAGGGAAAACTTTCAATATTTCACCATTAATACAGTGCTTACCATAGTTTTTTGTTATTGTTGTTTTGTTTCTGTTTTTTGGTGGAGCAGGGTCTTGCTCTGTCACCCAAGCTAGAGTGCAGTGTCACAATCTTGACTCATTGCAGCCTCGAGCTCCTGGGCTCAAGTGATCCTCCCACCTCAGCATCCTGAGTAGCTGGAAACCAAAGCTGTGAGCCACCACACCCAGCTAATTTTTAAATTTTTTGTAGACATGGGTTCTGGTGTTGTTGCCCAGGTTGGTGTGAGCTCCTGGGCTCAAGTAATCCTCCCACCTTGGCTTCCAAAAGTGCTGGGATTATAGGTGTGAACCACTGCACCTGGTTTGCCACAGCTTTTTGTAAATACTTTAAGCAGATAGATGAAGGAAGTGTTCTGAAGTCTAGCTGGAATTATCTGAGTTCTGCCTTCTTGGAAGACCCTAAATGTTAATATTTGTCCCCCTAGCTCTTTGAGGCTGGATTCTTAGAAGTTCTGCACAGCAGTAGAGTTGGAAGGAGTTACCCCTTCAATATTACACCCAGTCCACAACTATATTTCTGCATGTATTTACCAAAGCCTGTCTTTAACTGAAAATATGCTTCCATTGATATGATTCCTTATGACAGCTTTAGAAATGGTTCGAAACCTTTTGGAGTTTAAAGCCTGACAAGCTCAAAACCTTCTAGTTTTTGAGTAAATGTAATTATAATTAATTTAGTGCTGCATTCAGACTGTTGAATGCATTTTGAATTAAATTATAATTTAATGCTTCTAAACGGTTTTCTCTAAACAGGTTCAAAAGAGCATTAATGGGTCCTCTGATGTCTTACCTGATATGTTACCTGACCTGCCGGTATCTCTGGTTCTGTCATCCCTGATCATGGTTGATATTATTGAAAAACTCAGGATATATCCTCTTAGAGGGTATCAAAAGAGTAAGTGTTCTTTTAAATATAAATATTTTTTAAAGTTTGATATATCTTTTACCTTTCTGCCACTCTGTTATCTGACAACAGGTTTAATGATACCTTTTCTTAGGGCTAACATTACTGATGAAGGTTGCAAATGAAGATATCTAAATATAATTATTTTTAAACCTACCTTGATAGCTAGATAGCTATTTTTGTTTCCTATATGCATTTTGGTAGTACTGATAAATTAAAAATTATCAAATAGTTAATACCAAAACCTTAATATGTATTCCAGCAAGAAAGTATCCTAGTAAATTATTATAGATCTATGTTTTTCTGGGAAATCTCTTAAACCTTATGTTTAAATGCATTAATAAAAAGCTTAGTTTTGAGACTTTTACTACAGGAATTAATATGACTGCAGTAGTTGTGTCCTAGATAATCATGTGTTTTAATTTATGAATTATAAAAACATGCCAAAGATCACATTAATAAAACCAAGATATGGCTGGGTGTGGTGGCTCAGGTCTGTAATCCCAGCACATTTGGAGCCCAGGATAGGAAGACAGCATGGGTTCAGGAGTTTAAGACCAGTCTGAGCAACATAGCAAGACACCATTCCTATAAAAAATAAAATTTAAAGAAAACCCAACAAGATATGCCACATTTCCTCCAAAGTGAAGCCTTGAAACTAAATACAGGTTGGCCCTTAGAAAAGGGTATTTTGTTAATGGAATGTTTTTTTTTATTTAGTCATACATAAATTCCTCCAGCTTTCATTAAATTTCATGCGGTAGTATCTGTGTTTATTTGGCAATATTGGTATGCTAGTTACTGTGTGGCTAAGATATTGTCATGTGCATTTGAAATGGTTAAGGTTTGTCAGATTGTTTTCTGATGGAGTGAATGCAGTCAACTAAGTGAGCCTCAGGAAACAGCTTCAGAGTGATGGGGTTCACCACAGGTGCCCGTCAGTCATTTATGGGTCAGGTACCGGTGCCTTCCAGTCACTCTTGCCAGCTCAGAAGGAAGGGAAAACTGAGTTGGAGGCCACTTGGAAATTGGAAAATCTGAGCCTGTCGCTTTGTACTTCATCCTTGGGTGGAAGATGACAGTCTCTTATGTCTAACATAACACAGGTGATATGTAGGTAGATAAGATGGCAGCCAGGGTCATCTGTTGAGCAGAAGGCACACCCAAGTCACACCTGCCCTCCAAAGTCAAGTGTATTTGCCTTAACTCAGGAGAGCTGGGAATCTCCAAATTCTTTGCCATATCTCTAGATTCCTTAAAAATGCAAACGTATGGCTGGGCACGGTGGCTTATGCCTGTAATCCCAGCACTTTGGGAGACCGAGGTGGGTGGATCATGAGATCAGGAGTTCAAGATCAGCCTGACCAACATGGTGAAACCCTGTCTCTACTCAAAGTCCAAAAATTAGCCAGGCGTGGTAGCAGATGCCTGTAATCCCAGCTACTGAGGAGGCTGAGGCAGGGAATTCCTTGAATCCGGGAGGCAGAGGCTGCAGTGAGCCAAGATCTCGCCACTGCACTCCAGCCTGGGTGACGGAACAAGACTGTCTTAAAAAAAATGCGAATCTATTTTTAAACTTGATATTTTTCTATTTGAGCTGAGGTCTTGCTATGTTACCTAGGCTGATCTAGAGCTCCTGAGCTCAGGAGATCCTCCTGCATCAGCCTCCTAAGTAGCTGGGATTATAGATATGCACGGCTGCACCCAGCTTTAAATTGGATGGTTCCTGATGATTCTGTATTTTCCATATTAATATAAATTTCCTATCTAAGTTAAAAAGTCTTCTTTAAAAAGAAAGGCGCATGTATCTTTTTGGGAATAAGTTAATGGCATTTTATTTTTGTTAGTGATGAGTTGGATATTTTTTTTTTTTTTTGAGACAGAGTCTTGCTCTGTCACCCAGGTTGGAACGTGGTGGCGCGGCCTCTGCTCACTGCAAGCTCCACTCCCGGGTTCAAGCAATTCTCCTGCCTCAGCCTCCTGAGTAGCTGGGATTGCAGGCATGCACCACTGTGCCTGGTTAATTTTTGTATTTTTAGTGGAGATGGGGTTCATCATGTTGGCCAGGATGGTCTCGAACTCCTGACCTTAGGTGATCCACCTGCCTTGGCCTCCCAAAGTGCTGGGATTACAGGTGTGAGCCACCATGCCCGGCTGTGAGTTGGATTTTTAAAGGGGAATATTACTTATATCCACAATTTTAATAATGACACAGAACTCAAATAAGACATCTAAAGAATAAGTAGATCTGGTGAAGACTCTAGAACATTTTGTACAACTGCTTCTCACTTGAAGAGCCTCCTTCTTGAGCTGTTCTCTGCCCAAATTTAGGAAGATTAGTGTCTGATTTGATAGTTCCACCATGTAATAAATTCATGCTTAAAAAATCTAGCAGTCATTTGAAATGTCTTTGTAAATATGAATGATACATGCATTTAATAAATATGAATGATACATGCATTTAATTTTTATTCAAATCTTGAATGCAAATGGTCTCTTTCACTCATTTTAACATGAAATTAATGATATAAATTATGTAAATTTTGAATCCAGGAGATTTTCTCATTTATTCCTTGGAACATGAATTAATATATAACTACATTAACATGTAAATCTTAAACATATAAATCTGAACCTAAGCAAGTATGCCATAAATATGGTTTCACTACAGGTGGTACTTGTAAATAAAAGAAGTTGAGTAGTGGCAGGTGATGAACAACATCTAGAATAATTTGGCTCTCTTTAGGAAATGTGGGAAAAGTGAACATGTTCTGTGCTCTATCCATGTAGTTTGAAATGCATACATGTCTGTTAGCTAGCAGCAGTTTGGACGTTATGTTAGAAGAAACTAACATCATCTACAATGCTTGGATTTATGAACACTCCTGCAGCTTCCTAACCATCTTCATTCCAAGCTATGAAACTTTTATCTTTGTGTAGCTTTTCCTTTTCCAAAATTTTTAAATAAAAGTTATTCTGCAGTTCAAATATGCTTAGGCTTAAAGCAGCCTTCCCTGGACCAAGGAATCCTTTCTATAACTTCCTGTTATCAGTGGAAATTCCTCAGTATCAAGTAATGACCATGCAACAGCTTCTAAGTGCATTGTTTCCTGGAAGTTGAGCCTCACATGGGAGTATTTTTCTGATGTGTGGATCTCTGCAGCACGGCAATCTCACAGATGTACGTGGTACCTAGGAATGGCAATCCCTAGTCACATGCACAAACAACAGGAAAACAAAGGATACCTTGTGGGTGCAAAGGAGTGCATCTTAACATTTCCATCTGAATTTTGCTAACTAAACCTCAGCTATTAATAATAGACCTCCATCTCCTCTTCTTCACCCATCTTGTTTCTGCTTCTGTTTAATTAATTGATTGATTGATTTTTTTTGAGATGGAGTCTTGCTCTGGTGCCCAGGCTGGAGTGCAGTGGTATGATCTTGGCTCACTGCAGTCTTTGCCTCCTGAGCTCAAGTGATCCTCCTGCCTCAGCCTCCTGAGTAGCTGGGATTACAGGAGGGCACCACCATGCCTGGCTAATTTTTGTAGTTTTAGTAGAGATGGGGTTTTGCCATGTTGGCCAGGCTGGTCTCGAATTCCTGACCTCAAGTGATCCTTCCACCTCAGCCTCCCAAAGTGCTGGGTTTATAGGCATGAGCTACCACACCCAGACGCTGCTCCCATTTTAAACCAGACCCACGATGGGCCTCCTGTGCCCTTATTTGTTGGTCCAGACTGCTAACTACCCCACTGCATCTGCTTTGTGCTCAGCTTCTCACTCTAGTGTGCAAACCCCTCGGCATGCTATTTTCTACCACTCCTGCTTGGGTCTAATCCAAATGCTGCGGGTGCTGCTACTGCTTCCATCTAAGATATTGGTGGATGTGTCACTCGTGCTTTAGATTGACTTATTTCTTCTGTTAGTTGGAATCTTGGCTTCCTGACACTGAGTTCTAGTTTTCTAAAGACGTGTCAAACAGAGTACTGGAATAGCTGATTGTGCTTGGAAACAGCAGACTTTTAGCCCTTAGAGTATATATGTACCCACAGATTAGCTGGGCTTCAGTGATTTCAAGTAATGGCCATTCTGCTTGCCTGGAAGCCACCACTTCCCCTTCCACCTGTAAACCTTGTGGCTGAATGTAGCAAGAGCCAGACTCCTTCTTTGAGGCAGCTTTTCTCCATGCGGGTCTCAGGTCCTCAAATCAGGCTTAGCTCTATTGCCCGAACCTCAATCCTGGCCACCATTAGAGTTCTCTCCCTGTCACCACCTAGATTCCTTAACCCCCATCAAAACCAGTGGGTGCACAGACCCATGAAAGTGTCCAGGAACAGGGAGGGAGTTTTCAGTCCTACCTTCAAGACTCGAATAGGACTTGTAGCTCAGTCCAGACACCCCGTTACAGATGAAGGAAAACTTCATTTTATCTAAGGTGTTGCAGGGAAGAAAAGACTAGAGGGAAGATCTTGGATTTGCAGGATTTTGTAGGCAGACATGATAAAGAAAGCTTTCTACATAGAAGAAAGTTTGGGCCTTTAGAACTCAGGTGTGTATGCAGCAAATGGTCATGTTTGGGAAGTCAAAATGAAGCAGCGTGGTCGTCTGGGCTACATACCTGAGGTCCATCATCTCATGCCAAGAAGATTAAGGTCGTGGACACACACAAGGAGTGAGTTTAGGAGCGGAGGTTTAATAGACTAAAGAAAAAGAAAGGAGAACAGCTTTCACTCTTTTGAGAGAGAGGCTCCCAAATGGGAATTCTGACCCATGGCAGAGAGCACTGGATTTTATAGACAGGCTTGAGGAGGTGGTATCTAATTTACATAGGGCCCACTGATTGGTTGGACCAGTTGTGATATTGACATAGCACTTGGGGGAAGGCTGGCCACCCCACCCTAATCTTATTATGCAAATACGCTTTCCACTTGGCCAGTGCTGTGTTGTCTGCTCCTCACTATACACGTGGCTGGCAAAGAGAAGTGAACATGG